GTTATACAGATAGCGCAAAATGAAGATCTAAGCTAAAAGAGATCTAAAGGAAGATAACCCAATCAAAATTGTTACATTAACTTAAAAATTAATAATAGTTTATAAATAATTCATTAATAATTCAAAAATAATTCAAAAATAATTTAAAAATGAATTTTATTTATTTTTCTTTATTATTTTTTCTTTTTAAAATATCTATTTTATCTTTTCATTTTATTTTATTATTTATATTATCTTTTAACTTATCATATATATCTTATCTCTTTATTTTACTTGTTTATTTATTAATTTTTTATTCTAAAACTTGTAATTATAAATTAGAATAGTAAATAACTTATAAATAAAATTTAGATAGAATCTATAAGACTTTAAAGATATATAAATATTTCTATTCTTAAATATAAAATAAATATACTTAAATAATAATAATTTAATTATCTTTGAAAATACTTGAGTTATATTTATCTTGTAATTTTTTTTTGTCTTTATCTTAATATTCTGTTTTTAATTATCTCTTTTATTATAATAGATTATATTCTGATTAATTACATATTTTTCTTATCTAAAAAATATAGATAGTAAATATCTTTTACTTAAAATAAGTCAAGTATATTTTTTTTAATTTACAAAGATTTTTATAAGCTTTTTTATGTATAAAAGCTTTGATTGATTATTGATATATACTCTTTATTTATTTAATAATTGAAAAAATACTATTAAAAAGTTTAGTTAGCATATTAAATCTTTTATTTTAGTTATAATATTTATTTTAGTTTAGATATTTATCCTTAATTTAGTTTTTATAATTACAATTTCTCTTTTTGTTTTATTTTATTTTTATCTTGTATTGATATAATACTTATAAATATTAATACTAGAAAATCTTTAAAATAATTATAATTCTCTTTATTTTTATAAATAATTCAGTTTTAATTCTTAAAATTTATTATAAACTATATTTCTAATAAAATTTATTTTCATAAATATAATTTGTAATACTATAATCAAAGTACTAAAATAAATATTTTACTATTATTAAATTCACATATAATAATTTTATATAAGTTTTATTAGAATATATATCTTTTAAGTTAAATTATGATTAATATTTTATTATATCTTTAATACTCTCTTTAAATAATAAAATTATTATTACTAATAAATTTATTTAATTTTAAAATAATATAATCAAAAATATAAAGAATTTACTAATAAAAATTCAAGATTATTAAATTAAATATACTAATCAAAATTAATATTATCAGAAATTTAATATTAGAGATCAAGATTTACTTTTAATTTATAATATAATTAATTTTATAAATAAGTAATATCTTAGTAAAAAATTTATATTTAAATATATTAGATCTTTTTTTATTCTAAAAACTATTTTATTTATTATATATAAATAAAATTTATTATTATATATAAAAATTTACTTTATCTTTAGATTTTATTATTAAAACTATATAATTTAAGTAATAATAAAAAATTTATTTATCTAACATTATTATAATTAATTATTATATCTAAAATTAAAGAAGAATATAAAGTTAAAATAAAAAGATAATTTATAATAAATCTCAATATTTAATAAAATAACTAGATTATATATTTTATAATATTACTTGAGAATCTTTAAAAAATTTTATAATATTATAAAACTTATTAAATTTTTTGAATTTAAATATTAATAAGAATATTAATTCTTAAGAGAAAAAATATATAATAAAAATTAATAAATTATAAATTATACTATATTATCTTACTATATTATATATAATTTATTATATTATAATTATCTGATTTTATTAAAAAAAATTACATAATTACTTGAATTATTTTTACTTTAAAAGATAATTTTTCATAAAAATTTTATTAGTTCTTATCTTACAAAAATAACTAGATATATTATCTTTTTTCTATTTTTTATTTATAATATTTATTTTTAAATTTATATATAAGTATCTTCTAAAGATACTATTAAATTAAGTATTATATATTAATAATTATTTATTTATTCATATAATTATAATTTATTATTTAAAAATATTATTTCTATTTTGTATTTTTAATAATAATTATTATAAAAATAAAGTTTTAAGTTTTAATAATATTCTATTTATTTTTAACTTAGTTTTTTATATAAATTTTAAATTATTACTTTATTAATTATTTTGAATTTTATATGAACTTTCTAATAATTTATCTTATGTAATAAAAAATTATATATTTAATAATAAAATTATAAGTATTTATAAATTAATTTATATTTTATTTTATTTAAGATTATAAATAAATAATTTTATAACTAATAATTAATATTCAAACTAAATAAAATTTTATATTTAATATAATTATTAAAACTATAAATTATATGAAATAAATTTTATTATATAATATAATAATAATTTATAAAATTTATTAAAAATTATTATTTTATTAAATATTAAATAATATAATAATAATAGATAAAAACTTATAATAATAATAAAAATTAATAGATAATAAGTAAATTTACTTATAAAAATAAAAAATTACTATATATAATAATTTATATTATTTTAATATTTATATAAATTTATTAATTTTTATTTATTTAATTAATTTTTAATTTATTTTTATATTATAAATATTTTTACATATTATATTTTATATCTTATATAAATAATATTTATTTATAAATAATTCAATTATTATATTTAACTAATTAATAATTAAAATTAAAAATATTAATAAAGAAAATATTAATAGAATTATTAAAAAAATAAATAATAATATTAATAAAAAAATTAAAAAATAATTATAAAATATATTAATAAAATAATATATATTATTATTATAAGTATATTTATATTTTTTTATTATTATATTAAAATTTTACTTATTAATATTTAACATTATTATCTTAATATATAATTTCTATCTAAAACTATTATATTATAAAGATTTTAATTAAGAAAAATAATATTATATAAATATAAAATATTATAAAAAATTTATATAAAATAATATATATAATAATGTTCAAAAATAATAATTTAGAAACTAAACTTATTAATAAAATATAGTGAAAATTGAAATTTTCTCTGTATTATCAAAATTTTAATTATTAAATAAACTTTTGATTATTATAATTTTGTATAAAATTATAAGTATAATTAGATCTTTCTATAATTATTACACTTAAAAAAGCAAAATTAAATGATTAAAGAAAGGTATGACTATAGAGAGATTTTTTTAATTATAGTTAATTAGTAACTGAAAAACTCAAAAAGATAACTATAAAAAAAGATAATTATAAAAAGATATAATTATAGAGAGATTTAACTATATTTATTATATATAATAAATTTATAATATATATATATAATCAAATCTTTACTATATTAAAAAATAATAGTTATTATTTAATAAATTATAAATATAATAATTCAAATATATTGATATAATATACTTATTAAAAAAAGATATAAAAAGTGATTATAAATAATAAATATTTTTAAATAATAATTTGTTTATATAAATTTCTTATAAAAGTTATATTAATTTATTTTTTAAAATATATGTAATATATATATTATATTATAAAAAAATTTATTTATATATTATTTTAATTAATTTTATTTACATTATTTGACTTGATAAAATTGAAAAATATTTGTAATAAAGATTTCAATTCTATTCTTTCTGATAAAAATAGATAAGATTATATAAAAATATCCAAAGATTTATTAAAAGCAATAAAAAATTTATAATATACAATATATTATCAGAACCTTTAACTTCTTTATCACAATATTATCTTCTTTAATATAATCTAATAAAAGAATTTTGGCCAAAATCATGCTCGCATTATGTTAGCATTAAAAATTTTAGCTGATAATTATAGATTTTTTATAATTAAGATCGGCATCCAAAATTTCGGCACCAATATTTTATCGAATTCATTATTTATTTTTAAAGCTGACTATATATACTTGAAAGGTTTTAGTCGCGTATTTATTACTATTATAAATATAAAGCATTATGATAATAGATTTGATTGATTGGATTTGGAAATGTATATCGTGTGTTTCCGATCGCGTGATTTATACCTGAGATTCCCCGTTATATCTGAAACGTGACGCTGATGCATACATACAAGATACATGTAATAAAAATATTCAAGATAATCAAGATGATTTGCTCTATGGTTGTGGTTTTTTTTGTTTTACGATATAAAATAATTTTTTTTACAAGAGAATTGAAGTACATTACAATTAAATCGGGTCCAAATGGTCAAGGAATGATTTGAGTACCTAAAAAGAGAATAGTAAATAATATAAAAGAAATTAACTTTGAACAAGCAATCTAATAAAATCAAGAAAACTAATATAAGGCTTAATTCCTACGCACCTCCTTTTTCTTTCGTTTCTGTTCTCGATCGGTAGGTTTCGCCCATTTGATGCTATCCGGATCGGGAATCGGGAGAAATGACTTCCAATCCAGCTTTGCTAGTTCTTGAAGAAAATCTTCCGATTCTTTCTTTGGTGGTTGTTTTGGTGGAGATGACGCTGATTGGTCGTCGTCCAGATTCACGAGAACAGAGTTTTCTTTGACAAAAGTGCTGTTATAGAAGATGTAGGAAGCGACGGTTTTGGATTCTGGACTTTGAATGGTAGCTCGCAATGGATTTTTAATCTGTGTTTTATGATAATTGAAAATTTTTACTCAATAGCGTTGATGAAAATACTCGTATCAACCGAGAATACAAGTAGAATCTCCTTACCTCCGGAGGCTTTTTTTGATTTGGTGTAGTAGCTGTAGTGGGCTTATTAATTAACGGCGGTACGTTAAATGAATCAATCAAATTCGGTGACACCGGTGACTATATTAAAATAGTAGATTAAGAGTTTGTTAAAAAATAATATTATTGATTATATAAATAATCTTTACCTGGAGTTCTTTAGTACTAGAATTTGATTTGACTGACTCCTCGTCACTCGACTCTGATTCTATTAACGGTTGATTGAAATTCGGCCAATTTTCTTCGTGCTTAAATTCAGATCCCCAACCAAACACCGATTTCTCTGCCTGTAGGAAATTTACGAAATACATCAATAAATTAATAACTGTAAGTATCATCATAAGGATATTAAGTAGATATTAACTTAACCTTATTAACATTAGTATTTTGATCACCATGGAAGAAAAAATTTTCGTCAATAAGGAATTGAAATGGGTCTTTTGAATCGACTTTAGCGGAACTTTTTTGAACCTTCTTGTCTTTTGGTTTCGATGAAGGTTGAGTAAGTGTCACTGTAGGTGAATATTTTGCATTGCGACTGGACTCCTGCTAAATTTCGAAATTAATATTCATAAATTAAGAGATTCGACGTAAGATTTCATTTTTGATTCTACCTCAGCCGATTGTACAGCAGTTTTCAACAAATTCGACTTCAAGTAATCCGGATTTTCTTTAGGCTCGATTTTAGTGTCATTAAAGAATTGATCAACTTGAGGACTTGCCTCTATTGGAGTTATCAGACTCGTATCTTTGTTAGTGTCAGAGGTACCTGAATTTTTGTCATCGATTTTAGACACACGTGTATCTATAGACGAAGCGATAACAATTTTGGAGCCAGCAATTTTGACTTTGCTTCCTCGAATTTGGGTTTTTTCGTTACTGGCTTTGATTTTTGTAACATTTTCCTGAGATTGTCGTGTTTCGCTTGATCTAAGTGTGTTATCCATGTGTTTTGTTTTTGATGGAACATCTTTTTGAGGGGCAGATTGAACCAAATGATTAAATTTTTCTTCGTTCCAAGTATTTGTCTCATCATGTTTGATCTGAGAAAAAGCGCCCAATGTTGTGTTAACGACGGGCGAAATATGATTTATTTCTTTAGGTTCGTCCGTCAGAGTCCAAGCTGTTTGTTCAGGCTGCACAGAAGTATTTTGTTGTTTTTTGGCCGTAACCGAATTCCAACTATCATTATCGTCGATGGAAGAGTCCCAATTGTTATCATGTTCTGACGCGTTCCAATTTGTTTGTAATTTTTTAGCTTCCACCAAATCCCAGTCGTTTTGTTGTTCGCTGCGAGCGGATGAAGTGTCCAAATTCTCTTTTCTTTGTTTCTGTTCTGATTCATGAAATGTTTTTTCCCTCAGAATGTCGGAAACTTTGTTGAGCGCGAACGCGTTAGAATATCTCCATTCAGCGATTTGACGTGGCGCCTTTTGGCCGATAACCTCTTTTACAAGTACACCAGGTGGCGGTCTCCAGGCAGATTTTGTAGGTTTAATTTCTGGTTCCTCAGGCTCGGGCTGGATTGTTTGATTTTTAATTTCATTGGAATATAAAACAAGACGAAATAATTATATTATATGAATATTTTACTGTTAGAGTTACCTCTCCTGGCTTGCTTGGCAGATCTAAAGCTAAAGCATTCCAAGATCGGTAGACCTGCGCTTGGGACTTCCTTCTATTCATTATTTGCAGAAAAATTTTGTGAAAAGGACAAGCAGACAAGAAAATTTAGATTGTTTATTAATAATTATTTATTATGTCATGTACATGCATATCATATTATATCATATTGTTATGATTTTTTAGTCATTATAAAATATATGCATAACTTCTAAATATATACTTTTGAATAAAAACTTAGTTTTAAATATATAAATATATTTATAATTAGTAAAATATTAATTTTTATAATAACTTATTATAATAATATAAATTTCTTTAATGATTTTTTAAAATTTTATATTTTAATTAATAAGAGAATATTTTAAGCTTCAAATAATCAAACTAATTATAATTATTATATTAATTTTCTTATTAAACTTAATAAGATTAAGTATAATTAGATCTTTTTATAATTATATTTTTTATAATTATTTATAATTTATAAAAAGTAAATTTTTTAGTTATATAAATTTGTTAAAATATTAAAAGATATAATAAATTATTTATGAATTTATATTTATATATATTATATTTTTTTATTTACTTATTATTAATATATAATAATTATTTTTTTTAATAATTAAAAAAATTTGATTCTAATTTTTAAAAATACTTTTAATTAGATTTTAATTTTGTAAAAATTTTTTAAATAAATTATATTAATATTTATTCTAAAAAATATAATATTTATCTTTATAAAATATTCAAATTTTAATTATATTTTAGTATAAAAAAATACTTTATTAATATACAGTGACAAACAAAAATAATATAATACTTAAATTTTTTACTAATTATAATTAGTAAAATATATAATTTTTCTTACATATAGTGATGATCAAAAGTAATAACTCAGAGACTAAATTTACTAATAAAATATAATGAAAATTGAAATTTTCTTTTATATAAAAATTTATAATTTTAAAAAGAAATAATTTTATTTTTAGCTTAAAAATAGCTTAAATTCTCTAGTTTAATATATATTTTTTTCAGAATTTTTGGATTTTTTACTAGTGATTTGTTCTAATTACATATGAAATTAATTAATTTTTATTAATTAATAATTAGTAAAAATTAATTAACTTCATATGCAATTAGAACAAGTTACCAATAAAAAATTCAAAAATTCTGAAAAAAATATATATTAAACTATAGAACTTAAGCTATTTTTTAAGCTAAAAATAAAAAATATTTGTTAGAAAAATTAAAAACTTTTATATGTAAGGAAAATTATATATTCTATTAATTATAATTAGTAAAAAAATTTAAGTGTTGCATTATTTTTTATTGTTACTATATATTAATAAATTATTTTTTTAAAATAGAATTTTAATTCTATTTTATTTAATTAAGTTAGAATTTATTTAAATATAAAAATTTTTATTATATATTTTATAAAAAAAATTTATTAATAATAATTTTTTATTTCTTAAATTTTATTATATAAAATTTGATTAAAATTAATATAAAATTATATAATAAATAATTTAATTATTAAATTTTGAATCTTAATATTTTTATAACTATTAATTTAATTTATATAAATATATTTATTAAATTTAAAATAATCTACTTATAATTTAAAGTTTATATTATAAATTAATAATAATAATATTTAAAATATTTTTTTTAAAAAAAAATTTTATTTTAATTTTTTTTTAATAAAATAATACTTTCTTTATTATTAAATTAAAATATAATAAAATAATGAAAATATAGTAGTAACCAAAAGTAGTAATTCAAGAGTTAAATTTATTAATAAAAGAGATTAAAAA